TGTTATGTGTACTCTGCTACCATTCCATAGTGAACATTCTTCTAAACCTTTTCTTCACTGTTATGTGTACTCTGGTACCTTCCATAGAGAACATTATTCTAAACCTTTCCTTCACTGTTATGTGTACTCTGCTACCATTCCATAGTGAACATTCTTCTAAACCTTTTCTTCACTGTTATGTGTACTCTGCTACCATTCCATAGTGAACATTATTCTAAACCTTTCCTTCACTGTTATGTGTACTCTGCTACCATTCCATAGTGAACATTATTCTAAACCTTTCCTTCACTGTTATGTGTACTCTGGTACTTCCATAGAGAACATTATTCTAAACTTTAGTATCAAGTTATGTGTACCTTGATACTTTCCTGTACTGAACATTATTCTAAACCATGGTGTCAAGCTGTGTGTACCCTGGTATTTTCCTATACTGAACATTATTCTAAATCATTGGGTCAAGTTGTATGTACTCTGGTACCTTCTCATAGAGAACATTATTCTAAACCTTACCTTCACTTGTGTATGTACTCTGATACTTTCCCATACAGAACATTACTTTATACCTTACATTCTCAGTTGTATTTACCTACTTTGTTACCTTCTAGCACAATATATCATGCTAAATCTTATCTTCAGTGTTATGTGCTTTGCTTTGCCTTTACCCCATATTCTTCAGTCTTGACAACACTTCACCCAGTACCTTGATATGTTCCTCTTAAGTTTTACTACTGATCAAAATGTCATCTAGGAATCACACAACACCATTGATTTCACCTAGAATTTCATCCATAACATTTTGAAACATTGTTGGTGCTGTTGAAACACCAAAGGTAATCTTTGGAATTGATATAACCCCTTGTGAGTCTTGATAGTAAGCAACTCCTCTCAGTCAGTTATAACTGCTGATAGACATTAGTGAGATCAATTTTACTAAATATTGTTCCCTCTGGTAAGGTACCAAACATTTCTTCAGCAGTAGGTAAAGGGAAGTATTTCCTTCCACAACTTTTACACAGTTATCTTATAATCCCCACAAATCATAGTGCTGCCATTGGCTTTTGAGACAGTCACAATGGGTGCAGCTCATTTTGAGTGTTTGACCTTTTTCGTTATACCATTTGACTCTAATCTGTCTAGTTCTTTACCCACAGACTTCATTAGGACATAGGGAACTGGCCTAGCTTTACAGAATGTTGGCACACTTCCCCTTTCAAATTTCCACTTTTGCCATATGGCACTTAATTTTGTCATCAGGACCAACAATCTTAAAAACTGGCTGGAATGTGATGAGAACTTCTTAGGTGTTGGGTTTGTCTTGTTGTACTATTTAGGTCTTGCTTACTTTATTTTTTCCTGGAGCTTTGCCTCTGCTCTGACCTTGTTCACATCTAGTACCCATATTTTTAGAACCATAAGAACGATTTGAATTACAAAGTCTCTTCAAATGTCCTATTTTATGGCATCAAAAACACAGATATTGGGTTAGTGGCCCGTACCATAACACTCGAAGAATTTTATCTCTTTGGTTACATGGTGGACTTCCCCAGATGGAATAGCACTAGGTCTAGATCGATCAATTCTGGTTACTGGCCTTTCTGCTTTCAGTTGTAAGCTGTCTTTTTCTGCCATTTCCATTGCTTTCTGACATGCATCTTTCCAAGTCAGCTTTTCCCCTTTTGAATGAATTTGGCCTGAATCTTGGGATTGGATATGCCTCCAACAAAATTGTCTTTCAGGTTATTGGCTAAGTCCTCATCATAACCACAATGCCAAGATAGTTTTTTATTTCTGGGATATAATCAGCAACCGATTCATTTGGCAGCTGCTCACACTTTTTAAATGCTAGTTTCAGGCCAATTTGGTTTTTACTTGATGAATAATAATCATCTAAACTGGCAGTAAGTTCTTCATATTGTTTGTCATGTGGATCATCAGGTACCACATGATCTTTCAAAACAATTTCAAAAGCATCTGGCCCAATCATGGCCAAGAACACATTTACTTTGTCCTCCTAGGCCATTTTGTTAACCTTAAACCAGACTTCTAATCATTTTTGGTAATTTGTTCAGTCCTCTTTGGTGCTTTCAAATGCCCCTATGAAGCTGATAAATTCATTTCCAGCCATTTTCAATTATGGCTAGGTCCCGATACAGAGTTTAATCTTGTGGTATAAGCTACATTAGGCTACCTACTGTCTCTGTTGCACTCGCATCACTAACATTTGCTGTACACTATACTGTTGTACTGTAGGTCTACGGTGTGTTGTTGCAATGTAACGTCCTTCTAGTTCTACTTCTAGACAGTTCTTTAGAGCAGGATTTCAATCTCTTGAATCCTACATAACACAGACCATCCATGTTTTAAAAAGAGTGTCTGAAGATAATCTGGCTTACAAAATTTGGACAGTATAAAAATTGGTTGATTTATCCCATCCTCGTTGCCAATTCTGTGATGTTTTTGGTGACAAGAATGATGATACCAGACACTTTTCTGGTTGCCATAATGAAAAAACTCCTTTATTCCTCAGCTGGGGGTGCTATATAGTTATCAGTATACACTTACAACAACAAAAACAAATAATTGTCTTTTACATGATAATTACTCTTTTTTTTTTTTTTTTGAACTAATACATGATATTTTATTAATACATACTGTTATACATATACTGTATATAAGTAAAGAAAATATTTACCTATCTATAAAAGTTTTCTTCTGTCAAGATATCCAATACCTTCCCAAAAGCTGTTTAACAAGCGTTCAGTTGTGACATAGCCTATGAACTGCGACATCAGATATTTTGTGACTATTAACATCCCATAGATGAACTACAATATATTGTAGAAGATTAGAAAAGGTGCGTTATTAATGAATGTTGATAACCTTAAGGTTTCCTTGTTTATAATGTATTTATATATATTTCATTAGATTTCTAATTTATTATCTGTAGAATAACTAGGAATATTTTTTATACTTCATACTTTCATTGGTACTAGTATGTATACTTTCATGAGTTTAAAATGGTATTAGACCTTAAGAAAGACAGAATGAAATTTATTGCAACTATTATAAATTTATTATCACTATTGTAAGAATTTCAATTTGATATGTAAAGTCAATGAAAAATATTTGTATAATGTAAAATAACAGATTTCTTACATTTTAAAAATGTAATAAAAAAGGCTAGCAAATAACTTACAAGTTATCTTGAATGTCCTTATTTATTTGAGTTCTCAAAATGTTGGAGAAATGTGATGCCAGTCCAAAGCAGCAAATATATGTGGATTTCTTTTCATCATGAGAATTTCTTGTAAATAACACAATTAAGAAATGTTGCCTGAAATAATCCAGAAACTCCTTCATTAGAATGATAGGAATGATGTTTTTTATTGAATATCAGATCCACATGGTTTCTGCTTTTATAAAATCTTCCCTGGGCACATATGCTACCATAATGGCTATCTCATTAAGCTTCTTTGTACTAGGCCTAGGCTGCTCATCCAGCATGCTTATTTCCTGTTTTTTACCTCTTGCAGAGTTTTTCACATAAATTCCATGATCTGCGTATTATTCTGCTTGACCTTAGACTAAAGATGTCTGTGGTTAACCTCTATCGTGTGAGATTTCAATACTGCTTCTCCTATGTTTGAAATATCAAAAGATTTGTTGCATATGCAACATAGCACCTTCCCTTTTGCTTGGTCCCTAACAATTCAAGCCTTGTATGTGGGATGTGATGCCCAGTTGTCATTGAAAATACACATCCCAGACATTTTCATGATTCTTCCTTCCATCGAGATAATAAAATCCTGTACATACTCAATAAAGGGTCCATGCAATGCCATTGATGATTTTTCCAAAATAAAAGAAGACAATATGGCTGCTTGTGGGCACGTGCTAACCTATTTGTACTCAGTAAGCTGTCTATATCTAGATCAATAGACATAAGACAGACAACCACTCAAAAAGCATGAATGCATTTAGACTATCTTTAAACAGCTTTTAAGCTACCTTGCAATTGTAATCACTTGTTACTGTTCTATTACAGTTTTAAAAAATTGTTAAACACTGATCTTCCATGACTTTTACCAATTTTATAGGTTTTTTCTAACCTAGAAAACAAATTTTGATTTTTCATGCCTTTTCCAGGATTTTGATAACCCATACGCATACTGTACATGTATTTTAACACCTTATAACACAATACATGATACTAGACTTATCTTTACCTTCATATGTACCTCTATACCTTCTAA